ACTCTGAAATAAATAAACAAATCCCGTTTCGATTGTCCTTTAATTGAAAAAAACTCCCTTGTAGCCTCGCGGGTGCGTAAAAAGGAGGTGTGACACATGTTATTTGTCCCTATATCAAGAGATTAATTAGTTACTGTTTGTATCAAAACTCTTTCTGCATTTATCTTTGGGATAGTAATATACAGATAAATTAATGTTAACCAAAAACGACGCTACAACATACAAAAAAGATGTTCTGATGATGAACAGATACTCCAAGTTTTACATCAAATCACCTATACACAAAAATAGTTATGTAAAACCTTTTAACTTACTGTGGCTATTAAGTCTACCGTTATTATGAACTTGCATCCGTAATCTGTGCAGGATCAATCACAATTCCATGAATTTGTTTTCGTCTTCGTAAAAAGCCTCTACCAGAAGTGGCTGCAGGAGGATCTCTTAGTTGAACATGAGCTGGTATTGGCATGTCTTGTGAATGACCAGAAACGCAGAGTGAACCAGAATCATCTTGTTCCCAGTACACTTCTACCATAGTACCTATAGGATTCTCAGCAGATTCTGTTCCTGGGACTTTCACAAATCTTGCTCCTATAGGTATCTGAATAGTCACATCCACAAATGAAAAACTGGTGTCACTCATTTCACAGTGAGTTGAATTATGGATGCAATTTTATCATGAAAATTATGGAACGAAGAATCTGATAATCAACTTACTTGAAGTGAGAGCCCGGAATTTAAAGTAAGAGTCGCGAAGCTTCCTTCAGCAACATCTTCCAGTTCTGCCTGTCTAGCAATGTTTAGAAAAACTTCTTCAAGAGTTGTAAGACCAAGCTGGATATCTGTAATGCCAAATTCCTTCTCTCTATCTTGAAGCTCAGCAAAGAAGTCCTGGTTGAGAGTAAAAGTCAATGATCAACAAATGAGCTAACATTCCAAAACTAGTCTACTTTTAATTCCACAATAAAGTTGCAAGACTATTAAATGATGTTAAACTAATCTAATCTCATAGTTGCTTTAAAGATATTACCGTCAACAACTTCTCCTTGTCATGGGGAATAATAAAGGTTAAGAAGGACTTGTTTTCCTCTTTAGGTACCACGTCCAAGCGCTGTGTACATAATTTGCAAATCAAAACCAGTTCCTTTAATAGTTTCAGAAAAGAATGGGAAAAAGAAAAGGCATCTTTGACATACACTTTTAAAGAACTGTTTCACAGCTTCAGGTTGAGATGTACTCAAAGTATCTCCTGTTTCAGGAGTCCCGTTTGTCCCACCAGAAAAGCTTACATTAGCAATGAAACCAGTTCCAAACCTTGATTTCAATCTTATTGAAGTTCCAATGCAACGAAGTCTACCCTTTGCCATGATACCAACACGGTCACTTAAGATGTCAGCTTCTTCCATTGAATGAGTGGTCAGTATAATAGCACGCCCTTTTTTTGCATCCTCAATTATATCCCAGACATGTCTTCTAGTTATTGGATCCATACCAGTAGTCTATGAGGGTTTTCATGTTTTAGAGAAGAGAATGTCATGATAAATTTCTATTTGGCATAATTCTGATAAACATCAGGAGAAGACATATTTTCCAAAACCTACCGGTTCATCCAAAATGAGCAATTTCGGTTCACCAATAAGTGCTATAGCAACACTGAGGCGTCGTTTCATTCCTCCACTGTAACTACCAGCTCTCATTCTGGCTGCGTCTGTGAGTTTTACCTCGGCTAGTGACTTCTCTACGACCTGTGATTTGAACGAAATATTGGTTAAGCAGGATTTATAATCGGCTCAATTAGTCGGTGGTTTGGCCTGTTCATCATATCTTTAGATAGGTACAAAAGGCTAGACAAAGATTAGGTTTATATGCTCTCACCTCTTTTACTAAAGCAGTGGGTAGACCTTTAATGCTGGCAAAAAGATGCAGGTGTTCTTGACCGGACAATGCATCCCAAAGAATATCAAACTATAAAATGACAAATATGAATGGATTTTTTTAAAGCAAACACATATTGCTAGGATAGAGTACTAGTTAGATCCATGAAAGATTTGCAAATAGAAACATATAAAGATAATAATAGTCACCTGGGGACAAACCCCTATCATCCTTCGAATGTTTGACATGCCCGTAGAGCTTCTTATAGACTGACCATATACTAGTGCTGTTAAAAGCAACTTCTTGTTAGACACAAGCAATTTGCAAGGAACATAAAATTTCTTTTTGTGAAACTGAAAACAATATTACCATCTCCTGCAGTAACAGGTGTAATCCCAGTCAAACAATTAATAGCAGTAGTTTTTCCAGCTCCGTTCGGCCCAAGAAGACAAAATAGCTGATCCTTTGCAAGATTCACCCATAAGCCCTGCAATATTGACTCCAAAAAATGAGATGCAGATGCAGCTAGGGTAAAGGTGTAGGATCTACGGAGTATTATTAAATAAAGATGCTAGTTTCTTCTAACTTTTTTTTTTTCTTTTGAAATGTGGACTTCTCATTTCCCATAGGAAACTCTTACATATGTAAACGCGTACTAATGCAGACTTCACAGGAATGTTGATTTGAATAAATTGCCGAGGAAATCAGAAGAAGTTGCAAGAGAAATAAAACCAAATGTTGAGGTAAGTGTCAATGAGCTAGATCCAGTGCTCGACTCCTATCTAAACACAGAAACTGTCTTCTTCTTCTTTTTTTCTACTGATGACTTACGTTTGCACAGGGAAAGCAGCTACTGTTATTTTCTCCTAGACCAATAGATAAATACCTTGAGGGCATGATAAGGAGATTTCCTTTGGCACTTACAGCAGCCCATCTTTGCTGTTCCTGGAAATATCTTTACAAGGCCATGTAGTTGAACTGCAATATCAGAATCAACTTCACCTTGCGTAGCTTGGCGTTTAACAATGTTCTCTTCTTCAAGAACATCTTCATCATCTGGTATAATACTATCCAGGGACGGCACTGAACCTGTGCAGCTACAAATACCCCCCTCTGAACACAAAAACAACACCCTTAAAGTTTTGTCACAGCATGATCGTTATTAAGGTACTAATGAAATTTTGCTTTACCTTTCACCTTATTTCCACCTTTGCCTGTCCAGTATCCAGGATTCAAGAAGTAGAACATTGATTTTCTCACACCAGAAACATTCGGAATTATGTTGTCCAAGTAAATAGCAAGAACAAACCACAGAAAGAATGTTGACACGAGCCATACGTAAATCTCATTCTGTTAACAGAACAACAAATAATGGGCCCATGTAAGATGCGAGATGACTGTATGCTACTGAAAGCAGTATTGCACTAAGAAAGAATTAACAAAGACCCAGAGTCTCTCCTTCGTCCCTCCATAACTCATTCGCTCCACTCTCATTCAAACTCACGGAGCTGTAGCAGTGATGAGAAGTGAACACGAAGTAGCTACTGAAATCATTTACGAGCAAACAAATACTTCTCTCTAAATACTGCACCTCCTCCCCAACATCAAGAGAACTGCAAACTAAAAGAGAAAGCCCTAGTGTTGTAGTAGGTGTCTTACCATAGTTATTACACACTCGGTATCATTAAAAGCACATTTTGTCCTACCACTCCAGCTGACACCAGGATCTTCAGGAGTGGCAGTTGCATCAGCAAGTAACTGAAGACCTTGAGCAAGAAGATCTGGTGGGAACAATGACCAAATGATCCTATAAGATTTGGAATATTTTTTGCTGTAGGGAAATCCAAATGCTGTGACAAGCTGAAAAACAATGGAAGATGAGAAATACGTTATCCACTGAGTCAGTAATGGATAGTAATCAATTCAAAGAAAAGCACTTGCCTGAGTCATGAAACCGACAATAAATGTGAAGAAACCCACAGTTGTTGTTGAAGATGACTTGCTAATAAAAGCAGACAGCATGAATGCAAAACCAATCTGGCAACAGGTGCAGAAATTCTATATCAGTGGACTTGAATATTGAAGTAGTTTGCCTCATTAGAAGTTGCAAATGAATGCAGATTGTATTTGGTGAAATTGTTAAATTGAACGGTGGAACGCACCATATTAAGCTGGAAAAGGAAAAAAAGGAGAAACACGACGGCAAAACTGTTGTTCAAGAAAAACTCAAATTGAAACATCATCCCAAAGAGAACTATGAGAAGAGAGGAGATAAGTGTGATGAATCCCTCCCATGTGAACCATGACAACCAGTAGGCAGTATCATAGAGACCCATCATAGTCATTGCCTGTAAGACAAAATGCGACATTCAGAAAACGAAACATCTCCCATGAAGTAGAAGAATGATATTATCTCTTACAAAAATGCAAGAGAGCTGATACCTGCCGAAGTTTGAGTTCCTTTTCAATGATCAAAACATTGATTTGGAAGACAAAGCCAAACATAGCAACAGCCAAGAAAAAGGTAGGCCCAACAGCACCCAAGGCTGAGAAAACTTCAAAAGCAGGATGTGCAAATTCTTTGAAACTGACAACCCAACTGAAGTTTGGATCTGAAAATGTACATAATCATAAGACAATGGTGGCCTAGGAAAATGAGAACTTGATTTAAACCATCACAATCCATTTACCGGATCATAGCCAGTAGTAAATGTCATACTTATATACCTCCAATCAGAGATCTTGCAATTTCACGTTCTGCTGCCAGTTGAAGTGGGATTTGGAATTTAAAAGTTGGATCTTCAAAGACTCCTCGTTTGACAACAGGAGTGGAGTTTGTCTGTATGCCATAACTGATTATGCTAGCATTCCTTTCAACAAAGTGCAGAGCTCCAGGACAACGCATAGGGTTTTTGAAAAGCCATTCATCCACTTCATCTCGTGTTCTAAATGACAGAACCTACAGAAAAGAAGGCATAGTATGATAAGTCAATGTTCCAACAAAGACTTTGATTTGACATACTAAACTAAAGAATGAACCAAATTAAAGGAACCATTCATGATATACAGTGGTAAACAGGACACTGCCAAACTCAAAAGAGGACAGCAAGATCTATCTTTATTGAGATAAAATGGTGATTGGCACACTCAAAGGAAGACAGCAAGATGTATCTCCTATGGAGTTAAAAATGGTGCATAAATTCAGGATTTATCAATGCAATTCTTAGACTAGATTTTGTACTTGTTGTTAATATGTTGAAAGGAGTCGCACCACCTCCATGACGATAGAGAAAGCTGATAGTGAACACTAGACAGATTCATGGGCAAGGAAACATAAAAATGGTTCATTTTAGGGAGTCAAATTGTGAGGCGGATGATTTGGCAAAATGGGTGACTGCATTACCAGATTCAACCATGTTTTTCTAGATAAAAGATCTGCCAACAGAAGTTAGCGACTGTTCAAGTTGGACAAGATACAGATGGGTAACTTCAGACTTAGGCCAGACAAAGCAAACAACTTCAAATTTTGATAAGGAAGTTCCAGCTGCATTAACCTTATCAACTTGAAAAGGACAGGAGTCCTCGTCTTCCTTTATTTTAGCGTAGGCAATCTTTTTGTTAAGCATATGTAAAAGACCGGGAATAGCGGACCTTATGTCCACTATTCCCTGGACCCCGCGCACAACGGGAGTTTAGTGCACCGGGCTGCCCTTTATGTAAAAGACCGGGAATGTCCACTCTTTTCAAGGGGAATCCCCTTTGCATACTCTCATGCAGTAAAAGCACATTACCAATATTATTCATGCACACCATGTGGCAGGTAAGGAAATGGAAAAGTCCACTTCTCGTATAGGCGGTAAGATCATGTCTCCCTACTTCATACATTTAGTCAATGCCAAATCATCCACTACCACATGACGAATTAACATGAAAAAAACATATGTAAAGAACAAGTTGAATTGTTATTTCCATGGTGTACCAGACTTATTACATGGAGAGAACAGCAGCATTTAGGGCAAGCAGGAAATATTTGTAAATTTATTTTCTGAAAGTACGAATAGGGGAAAGCGGATTTATTGCTATCAAGCAAACTGTACTCATATTATCGGAAATTTTAAGTTACAAGATGACAAAAGTAACTTCATTTGGGCTGATGATTATCAGAATTTCTTCCCTCACAAGAATTTTCAAATAAAGTAACAACAACAACAACAACAACAACCCAGTATAATCCCACTTAGTGGGGTCTGGGGAGGGTAGTGTGTACGCAGACCTTACCCCTACCCTAGGGTAGAGAGACTGTTTCCAAATAGACCCCCGGCATCCTTCCCTCCAAGAACTTCCCACCTTGATCTTGGGGAGACTCGAACTCACAACCTCTCGGTTGGAAGTGGGGGTTGCTTACCATCTGAGCAACCCCTCTAATAAAGTAAGAAGCATAGAAATCAGACAAGGGAAAACACAAGGAAGACACAAACCGCAGAAGGTATGTGTTATGCTTAGTAACAAAGAAAATCACATTAGAAAAAGTAGACAACAAGTAGCAACCATACAGGATAATTGTAAAAGTTCTCATTGGCAAGCAAAAAAATTTTAGGCAAGCAAAATTTTTTCTTTTTTAAAATATTTGAAAAGGTTTTCAATGAGGTGGGTAAGAACAATGAGATTTCAGGATCAAATCCCATCAGAGACAAAAAAACACTACTCCCTCCGTTTCAATTTATGTGAACCTATTTCTTTTTTGATCCGTTCCGAAAAAAATGACTCATTTCTAAATTTGAAAACAATTTAGCTTAAAACTTCCAATTCTACCTTTAATAAGAAGCTTTTATAGCCACACAAAGACTCTGGACTCCTTTTTGACTTGTTTAGGACCACAAATTACAAAAGTCTTTATTTTTTCTTAAACTTTGTGCCCAGTCAAACAGGTTCACATAAATTGAAACGGAGGAGTAGGTGATTTGTTCCGATCTGTCCAAGCGTAGATGGACAGAGTTACCTGATACCTGTTGTTGGTGGGAGGTAACAGTATCTGGTGGAATTAGTCGAGGTGCGCGCAAGGTGGCCCGGACACCATGATTATCAAAAAAAATTGAAAAAAGGTAGTTTCTCCATTGCGGTGATTTAAGTGTTTTTTTGAATAAGTTCAACAGCTCTAACAACACATTGTATCCAACTCCAATTTATACACGGTTATTAGTAACAACTAATATAAGATTCACACGATAATAAAAAGAAACATTGAAACAAAAACTCGAACTCAAACTTAAACTCAGTCATTCCCAATGACAACTATTTTGCAAAACATATGTCAGTTCAATATCAAAATGTAAAGGTAAATAGCAAGTCAAGTAGGAGTAATATATACCTTAGAGGTAGGAATAGACCGGCCAGGATTATTAGCCATAATTCTGCTCGCAATCTGCCCGATTTTTGGACTCTGAGAACCACTCCAAACAAAATCATAGCAGGGGAGACGGATGAAGTTCTTTTGTTCACAGGGCGGGATTGGCGGCGACACTAACGGTTGTGGGTCCCGCACGTTCTCGTAAGAGGAGGAAGAAGAAAAGCGAGCTTCTATTGCTTTTTGGATTATAAAAAGAAGGAATATCAAGAAGAGGGATGAGAATAACTGAAGGAATGTGGCTCTCTTGTTCCTCCATGCCACTATAAAATTCTTCTTTAATAAAGCTTTGTACTGCTGTTTTAGCAATGGAAATCCCCTCTCCAATTCCATGGCTTTAACCAAAAGTTTCTGTATTGGAAGAGTAAGGAAGTTAGTTGATTCACTTTATATGTAAGGGGAAAAGAATGAAGGCGCGTCTTTTCCAGGTAATTTTTGTGTTATTACTTTTTGCCCCTTGGTTTTTTGTTAATTGACTAGACATGCCACTGAATCTAAATCCAAAGGTTGCAAAGTCAAATACGGATTAGGGTGTTGAGGACTTTTCCTTGTTGTTTGCGGAGAAAATTTTTAACAATAAGTTTTGGGAAAGCAACTAACAGCTTGTTTGGATGGTTGTCACCAGTTGTATCGTATCGTATTCTTACTTTAAATATAATGTTTGTTTTGATTGTTACTTAAATTTTATTGTATCGTATCGTTAAATCTGTCGTTACGTAACGATGAAATGTGTCACTTTATGTAACGATCGATTTGATGTGGTCGCATCGTTTTCTTGTGTTTTTCTCTCAATCTCACCCTTCATTATCGTTAAATAATTTTATTTTATCATTTACCCTACCTTTTTATGTATCATCTCATAATTTTTCTTTATAATATTGCAAGTTTATTCATCATATTACTGGTGCATGATACCATGAAACGATGACAAAACGACACAATCCATCCAAACATTGTACTCATCAAACGATACAGTACAATACAATACAATACGATACGATACATTATGAAACGATATGTAACAACCATCCAAACAAGCTGTAAGTGCATACTTTTAGTTGTCACAGTATTAGGTACTTGTCCTCTACGATATTCATGGTTCGGTTTGGATCGATTTTTCCCTAAAAACAAACCAAATCAAATAAATCGGTTTTTCAAATATTAGAATCAAATCAAACCAATTAAGTCGGTTTTTTCTCGATTCGGTTTATGTCGGTTTTTCGGTTATTTGTCAGTTTTTTCTTAAATATAAGACATATACTACCAAACACATATTTCGGCGACCACATTTTCAACGTNTATTGTCCTTTTCAGTTCATTATTTATAGGTTATAATTACAACCTAAGATGTTTTTTATTTATTTCATCAATGTTTACCCTTTCAAACTTTAAGTTGATGATAGTTGAATGAACTAACTCTTAAATTATTATTTTAATATTTTAAAATTTATCATTAATTTTGTAGCCCGTTACAAATTTGTATTTAGTTTTATTACCTTTTTTTTTTTTACACAAGAGAGATTTGCTTTTATACATGAGAAATATATCTTTTATACGTAAGAGATTTAAAAAATATATTTTCTTAAATTCAACATTGTAAAAAGTCATGAAGGTCTAAAACTCATTTTAATACTGTCAAATATAATAAAGTGCACGGTGATTTTAGGTTGGTATTTAAAATTTTGGCATGGTTTCATGGAACACTAAATGACTTAAAAGACAAAATAGTCTATTAATTAGTATATTATTCCTCTGCGTTGCTTGTCAAAATCTTGATCACAATTACTATTATTATATTTTTGGACGATAGCAGTTTCTTATTTTCTAATTGGAAGAAAGAACACATTGATCCCGCAATACAATCCCCCATATACAGTGAACCAACCATTCACGTCAAACCAAAATATATCGTGATCTTCACGTCGATCTTAGGATTTTGTGATAATTATGTAGTACAATTACTTTTGTTCGCATGGAGCCAGGGAGGGACAACATAGTCATTTACTATTATGACGTGGAGGGCACTTTGGGGGGTTTTGTACATATCATTTAGGGTCATTAGTCAGATATAAATAATTTCTGGCGCGAGCTAAAAGTAATAATATCCCGAATTACCCCGTGTTAGTAATCATCCTCACATGTACTCCTATCAGTCATTCTAAATTGAATTGAAAGCATAATTTAACTATCTGTCAAACGCTTGTCACTTAAAACGGACAAAAGAAAATGGATTGATCTAGACGGGTCAGGAGATAAAAGAAAAACTCAACGGGTTTCCTAATTGGTAGAGGAAGTTCGTTGAGAATTTTCTGTTACGTGGGTAGCAAGCCAACCTTTTGAAAGCATCTTTGATTTTATTTTTATTTTTTTGCATAAGTAGCATATTCTGTTACGCAGAAAATGTAAAAATCAACTGGCGATATTAGACCACATTTCCGAACTGTAAAATGAACTCGTGATTTTGGTGGGATTGTGGCACATGGAATTAATGTTCTTGAAAAGAAAAACATCAGCCAAATTAGTCGTTTTTGTTCTTTAATTAGCAGTTTAACATTGTTAGTTAATTCATGAGACCATTACTATAAGGAATTATTTGCTTATAAAAATGGAATTAATAAGTTAAAAAAAGATTAATTATTTATTACAATATTAAATAATTTCATGATTTACATGAGCGTAACTTAATTACTAAGGACCTGACATTAAACTTAATTAAGTAAGTGATTTGTATGTATTAGTTGAATAAATTCTAGCGAAATGTGTTGCTGGTGGTTATTCAACTGAAGAAGCTAAAGTCAGTAGTTTAAGCTGTGCTCCAAAATAAATAAATAAAATTTGTTTTCATCTAACCATTTTAAATTTACACTATAATAAAATTGAATATAGCTTATTATTACAGTAAAAACGCTTAATATTAGAAGTCTTATTTTGGCTAGTACTATATGTTTGCTTATGCTGGTCAAAGTCTACAGTATACCCCGGTACTATTTATTCAACAGAACGTCTTATTCATTTGAATTTATGTACATTAAGGTTTCATGAATTTTCATGTTTTCTTCTCAGTTAAGAAAATGAAACTACGTCGAAGATGAAATATTAAGCATAACGTAAATCAAACTCGTATTAAACAGCAGATGTATTTGTTGAATCCCTGTTAATGAGTTAATTAATCAGTTAATTGTGACTTGCTTTAATCGTTAGACTTTGAATAAAAGATTTTGTTAAATAACTCATGACGACTTCAATTCGCTGTGGCTTCAGCAGGACAATGACTTCTTGATTTTTTTTTTTCGTTGAGACATCTGACTTTTTCTTTTTCAGATTCAAAGAACTTTGGACGCTAAAAATAGAGAAGTTTTATTATGTGTCTCACGTATGGGTATTAATCGGGCCGGGCTGACCTGTTTTCAGCCCGGTTCAATCCGTTACTGTTCATGTTGGGACGGGTTGGACAGTGTACGTTCACGTTTAGACTAACGGTGCCCCGAACCCGTTAAATTCGAATTTCCTTAACGGGCTGAACACGGGCTGCAGCCCGTTAGCAGCCCGGTTTCCGTTTGAATTTTTTTTTTTAAATTAAATTGGACCGTTCCCAACGATCAAATTCAGAAATGACCGTTGGGGAACGGCCAAAAATTGCAGAAATGGCCAATTTCGGCCCCCCATTAATAATATAGCCCTCCCACCCCAAAATCTTTAAATAGCCCCTCTTCTTCTTCATTTTTCTCACAAATTCACTCTCTTACTACTCTAATTCTCTCTCAAGTATCAAACTCTCAATTCTCTCTTGATATTATAGTTCTTAAATTCTCAAATCTCAAATTCTCAATTATTTATTATTTCAAGTTTCATCAATTATTTAGTTTAGCCATTACAAAATTATTATTATCAAATATCAATTATTCAAGTGAAGTGTGGTATCAATTATCAAGTATTCAAGTATTATCAACTATCAAGTTTCGGTTTATCAATTGAAGTTTGAATTTTGATATCAAAAATTCAAAATTAGTGCTGCATAAGGAATTCCGGTACACTCGTTCCATCTCTTTCTCTTATTTGGTGTACACTTATTTTATTAATTAGTTTCTTAATTTAGTTTCTTACTTGAATTTCTTAATTTAATTTCTTACTTTAATTTCTTACTTTAATTTATATAATGAATTTACTTAGAGCGGCCAAAAAAGCGTGCACTAGAGGTGGTAGTAAGAAAACTTCAAAAAGAACAAGAGGTGGTGTTGGTTCTTCTAGTAGCTTTACACATATTTCTGAAAGTTCACCTGAAAATTTAAATGTAGATTATGAGCGAATGCAAGAAAATTATGGTGTAGATGATGATTTAGATGCTTTGTTAGATGATATTGAATCACCCGATAATCTTGACTCACCACCACCTACACCTGGTAATGCTAGTCAAACTCAAAATGTTAGGGGGGCAGGTGCAACAAGTAGGCCTCCTCTCCCTATTAAGCAGAATCGACGATTAAGAAGTAAGTGTTGGATGTTTTTTGAAAGACTAGAAGATCAAAAAAAATATGTAAAATGTAAAATTTATAGTGAACATTATAAACATGAACCCGGTAAAGGAGGGGGAACGGGTCAACTTCGTAGGCATATGGAAGAGAAACACCCTCTTGAATGGGGAGTAGATGAGTTATCTGGGCAACAAAGACTTAACCCGAGTACTGGTGGGTTATTTGGGAAATACGATATTAAGAAAGATCGGGAAGAATTAGCTAAAATGATTGTTTTAGGTTGTTTACCTTTTAGTTTTGCTTCTTCACCGTATCTTGTTACTTATATTCAAAGAATTTATAACCCTATGTTTAAAGGTATTCCTAGAAGTACTTGTAGAGCTGATATCTTTAGGCTTTTTGGACAATATCAGACATATATACGTTATTTGTTCGCAAGTCTTCCTTGTAAAGTTTCTCTTACTTCTGATATTGGTCGTGCTGTGAATGGAAATGATTATCTGACTGTTACATGCCATTGGATAGATGATAATTTTTGTATGCAAAAACGTATTATTGCTTTTAAATATGATGAAGATCAAAGTCATACTGGTGCATTGATAAGTAATACTATACATGAAGTTGTTATATTTTATAATCTTGCAGAAAAAGTTTTGTGTATGTCATTGATAATGCTTCTAACAATACTGCTGCTATTACAATATTAAAATTGCATCTACACCCACCAATNTGGCCCGCCCGAGCCCGTGTGAGCCCTAACCCATACGGGCCCACGAAAACCCGAAAAATCCCAGCCCTATAACAACCCGTTATCCCCAGCCCGCTAACAGCCCGCCCGCTAACCGAACGAGCTGGGGGTTTTCCCGTTCAGCCCGTCCCAGCCCGCTTGATAAACA